GAGCTATAGAAATAAAATGAATAGAATTGGACTACAGACAGAAAACAGAAGCTCAGAGGGACGTACTTGGCCTCAGGATCATACTCTGACCAAATCCTCTTGAATTCATCCAGGTGATGAGGCCCCAGGATGGACCAATCACGTGTTAGGTAGTCAAAGTTGTCCATGATGACGGCAACAAATAGGTTGATGATCTAAATAGAGAATTAGGTGTGAGATCAGCTTCTGATCTGGACAGAGGGATTCTGGGTACTCTGGGAATATCTGAGGGTTTGGATTTCCCCACCAGGAAGGCACACAGCATAAAGAAGCTGATGAAGTAAACGATGGCGATGTTGCTGCCGCAGCTGAACTCCTCTCCCGGTTCGTAGTCCGACTCCGGGTCACAGCGCTTCCCTGGAAGGCTGGCCAACATGATCTCCTGCCACGCCTCACCTGTAGCACACCTGAAAACATGCACGGATAAACAGAAAGGGATTCTTTCATCTGAGCGGGACTGAAGAGCCACGTGAAGAAAGATCTGACCTGAAGAGGAGGAGAACCGCCTGAGGAAAAGTCTGGAAGTTGTTGTTTCGGTTGATCTGGGTGTAATCCTGCATGGCTATCTTCCCAAACGTCTGCAGACACAGAGAAGAGGATCAATTAGCGGCTCCCGGCTTGGGTCTAACCCCAAACAGCGCCCCCTGCAGGTCCCCCCTGTGAATGAGCTCACCTGCATGCCAATGACAGCGTAGATGAAGAAGATCATGGCGATGAGCAGAGCGACGTAGGGCAGCGCCTGCAGATGTCAGAGCAACATCCGGAAGGTTTTACACTGTTTGCATGCAGGATGTTTACTGATGCTTGTTTTATTTATTTACTTTTAAAGCATTCTTCCAAATTCACTAGTTACATACAAACTATATATCAGGGTTTTTTAAAACGTGTTTACCCCTCCTCCAAACAGGATTATTTTCTGCGTGTTATTATAACGTTCAGTAAATCAGCTGTGAAGCCGATGGCGTTGGCCTCATCGTTTGAAAAAGCGATCCGATATGAGATGCAGGGAAATCACAGACGCTATTTATGTCGTAATTTAAATGTTTTTAGATGCTCTAACACCTGCGATGGGATGTTCAGAGGTTTAACAGGCATTCTCTAAACTTGCCAATGTTCTTAAATTTATAAGTTTTTGTGCTTCTTTAAAATTCCCAGCAGGTAAAGATCATTGCTGATAGTTTGGAGACGCTCTGGTTATGATCTAATATTTGGACGGTATTTCCACTTTTGTTTTTGTAATTTTAGTTCAATTTCTTTGTTCATTTCACATTTTTTTATTATTATGCACAAAAGAGCCTTTTTTATTTTGCATTTTATTTAGTATTGCATGTTTTTGCATTGTTTCCTGTTTGGTTGCTGGGATCTTGTTCAAGGCCGAATACTGACTCCCAAAGACATCATGTGGCAGAATTATTAGTTAAAAGATTTGAGCTGAGCTTCTAGTTAGAGTGGCTCAGGTTATCCTGAGCTATCTCTATAGTTCTGCTGCTATAGGCTTAGACTGCTGGAGG